CTCACAAATCTATCCATAGATATATCCATATCCATATTTATCTCTCCAGCCCCACTCTTTGCCCTGAGCTTTGGTGCCGTACCACTCCCTTCACCTCCAATGGTTCAACCTGAGATTCAACTGGTTCCCATCTCCCTGAGACCATCAAGGGCTCCCAGGACGGTTCATCCTTCTCCACTGTCCTCTGCCCCTCTCTTGTGTGAAATTCCCCTTCCACTACCTACCTCCCCTCTTGGACCAGGCTATATGCCTAATGTGTAAATGTCATTAACTAATAAAGGAGAAAAGATTTTTTAAAATGCCTATTGGATATTATAAACTGGATGGCCCAGAGACATCTCAAATATAACATATCTAAAATATAATTTACTGTTCCTGTTCCCTCCTACCTGTCCTCTTTATATTCTCTTTTTATACGGTCTCTGCATATAGACAGATAGATATGTACATATATGTATATATGTACACACACATACACACATATATACTTGTAGTCACCTCCACTGGAATCTAAGCTCCTTCAGAATATAGATTCTTTCACTGAATTTTTTTATCCCTAGTTCTTAGCACATTGCTCAACACACTTAAGTACTGCTTGTTGACTAAAGTTAAAAGAGAAATGACAATAATAATAAAATATGACAACAAATAATAAGATGATAATTCATACTTCACGGTTACAGAACGGTTGTTTGCTTCCATGAGGGGAGTCTTCACTTGGATAAAATCAAAATCAGTTGTGACAAAACTTATAATTACTAGCAATAAATAAAATTTTTGATACTTCTCTTTATAGTCAAGCCAGCAATACCAATATTCTCCAAGGAAGTGTAAATTTTATAAGTGTTAACATCATTGCACCAGAATCCCACACCCATACGTAACAGAAGATCTAAATTTACAGACATCATTTCTTTTGTCCCAACCCCCATTTCCTGTACATTTCTGAAAGTTAGTTTTCATGACCATTTGGTACTACAGGTAGGGAACCCAAGAAAGCTATGGCAGTAAACTAGTAAGCAGATGATTCAGTGGCAATAGTTAGGCAGATCATATGACATACATCATACATTTTAACACCCCCTCCCCCCTCCCTGACATACAAACACCCAAACACAAATCATCTCCAGGCTATTCATATTCCCAAATAAATTATCTTATTTGTGCATTATTCAAATTAGGAGAGAGGTGGATACACCCACTAAAATACTATTATGAATTAGCAAGAACTAAATGATCATAGCTCTCTGTTTGGTCACTGGCAAAAAGCAAAAATGAAAAGAATGATGTAAATCTGTTTCCTGTTACTGGTACTAAGGAGCTAAGTAACTTGTAGCATCAATGTTGCCATTATTGGTAGAGTGGGAGGGGATTTCTAGTTAAGCAGAACCCCAAAGATTCATGAATACAACTGGCTTATTTTAAAAGACATACTCAATTTGTGTTCCAGGTAGATGATTATGTATTAATTCACTTTGGAGCAGTTTTTGGACAAATCTAGGAAACTGAATGGAGAATGTAATACAATTCCAACTACCAACTATAATCCAAAGAATTGCTCTATGTGGTGATTTGGTCCAATGTAACTAGTGTGTGAATGATATAATACAAGCCTCAAGTAAGATACTGAAATCCTTCCCATTCTTCTGGCAAAGAAAATAATAAACAGCTGTCATAAGCATCCTTTCAGCCTACGTGTGGCTATCAGGTTTGCTGATATGTTTACCTTAGATAAACCTCTTAATTACTTTAGTTATTACCTTCTGGCAGGAGGAGTGGGTGGCACTTCTTTATTTTTTTAATTTCAAATTACTTCTATTTTGCTACCAACACTCTCTTCTGAAAACCCAGCTTTCTTAATTAATTCCTTACAATCCTGAACCTAATTAAAATTTTCATGTATCCAAAGCTATTTTTATACATTTTTGGGAGAAAAGAAAGAGCACTGATTCTGAATTTCATAGAACTATACCTGGTTGAAAATCTGGTAGCATTTCAGCAATTTTTTATAATACCTGCCAAGTCCAGCTACTACAGTGAATGAACTGCTTTAGGAATATAAAATGTGTAACTCAAAATTTAAAATATGCCTAAGATAAAAAAAATTTAGTTGAAAAGTATTTCAAGGAAAAGAATAGACACTAAAATTTCTACCCACTTTGTGGGGGGGGGTGTAAAATATCATTAAAAAAAATTTTTTTTAAAGAATTCATGATATGTAAAAAAGTATCACGATGAAGCTGAGAAAGAGCCAGCCTCAGACCAGGGAAGATATTTGCTGAAGTCCTACCTTTCAACACACCGCTATGTGACTGTAGGTAAGTTTTTTAGCCTATCAGGGTTCTAGGTAATTTCCTGAGATGCTACAGTGTAGAGAAGATTCTGATCTACACATTGGTAGAGGGAGTCTCCTTACCCAGGAATTCTCTATCCCAATGGAATAACAGGTTTGCTTTTTTTTTTAAACCCAAACAAAGAAAAATTCGGCCTGATTATAAAAACTTGTGTTCAGAAAAAGAGACACAAATCATGTCCCCCTTCACAAGTTAATACAAGGGAAGAAGAGTATTCTAAGAGCTAAAGAAGGCAGCAAGATTAACTGTCATCTGGGAAGGGAAGGGGAAAAATTATAAGAAATGAAATAAAGCTGAACTAAAAGGCATTTGCGTTAGACAAAAGAAAGGCTTGCTAGCATGACCACATACAAAGACTATAATGCTAAATTACTTCCATCCCTGTATACCAGTAGCTTCTTCTTTATGTAGAGCTCAGCCAGTAGGATACTAGGTTCAGTGCTGGAAGAAACCTTAGAAATCATTTATTCTAATCCCCTCATTTTAAAAGATGAAGAACTGATACCCAAAGAAGTTATGAGACTTGCCCAAGGTCATATTAAGCATTAAGAAGCAAAGTCATGATGTGAACCCAGGTCCCCTGATATCAAGCCCAATGTTCTCATGAACCCATCAAAGGAACCCACAAAATCATTTTAAATTCTTAGCATAGAGCTGTGGATCCAGGATCTTAAAATATTAAAACCAAAGAAAATAGTAAATGCCTGGAGAAAAGAAAAACATATGGCCAAGAATTTGCTTTTTTCTGTAAAGTGATGAAGAGAACAAGTATGTACTGAATAATTAAAACACATTTCATTTTTTACATTATGCAAATATATTTTTCTATTTATAAGGATTATCCTCATTACCACATTTACTATGTGCATTGTAAAAAAGGTTGGGTGTTGGTGTGCACGTGCCCACGTGTTTGCATGTTTTAATAAAAACATATAATTACTCTGTCGAGATGTTCCAAACCTTGTGGAAAACTGATTGAGAACTTTTTTTTTTAACATCTCTTATATTGTTTTCATAAATGGTACTTTTTAAAGATAAGGGCTTTAAGATTTTTGCAAGAGACCATGCTCTTTTTTTTTTTAACAGTGCCTTTGAAAACACAAGGTTCTACTCTCCACTCAGCTAAATATACAAATTGTTCTGCTTTAAAGAGGGTGTGTGTGTGTGTGTGTGTGTGTGTGTATTCGTGATCGCGCGCGCGGCGCACGTGCAGTGCCCTGTGCCTAATAGAGCCACAGTATTTTATCAGCCCTCCATTTTCTCCTTTGTGGCTGGGATGCAATCAAGAGCTGTTCCCTGGACCACAAGCTGTGCTTCACTCCCTACTGTGATGAGCAGAAATAGGCTAGCATGCTCCCAGGAATCCCAGCCCTCTCGTTCAATGACTGCCAAGTACACTTTCTTTCTCTCCTCAGAAATGTCTAATGGGTATTGCCTTCCTGAAAGGGAAATGCCGAACCACACAGCTGTGTTAATTTCAATGCACTCTAGGTTAAACCAGCAGAAAACTTTGCATCTCATTTTCATTTACAACAGCAGAGAAAGGTTTCCTATGGAGCTTTAGGAGATACAAATAGGGTAGAAATTCACTTCAGCCAGAGGGACAAAGGTGCTGATTAATTAATGATGATACAAAAATGCTTTAAGTGACCAGCATGGTGGAGCGGTCTGAGTGCTAGATTTGGAGTAGGAAGAGACCTAGGTAGGACTCCTTTGTCTAAAGCTTCCTTGCTGTGTGACCTTATTATTGAGCCTCTACAAGTCTCAATTTCCTGTTTAAAATGAAGATAACAATGCTTTTGTACTTACCTCATAGTGTTGTTGTGAGGGTCAAATGAACGATAAATATACAAGTGCTTTGCAATATCATATATATGTATATATATACACATACACACACACACACATATATAACACTGATATTTTCCATCATTGTTTGAATTAAAGCTACAGAAATAGAAACTGATTTGTTATGCTGATATGAAGAGTCATACACAAAAATATATCTTTATTGAGCTCTGCCTGGAAAGAGAATTCAACAAAAATAACTCTTGAATATACCCATAAACATATCCTCCAGCATTTATTTATTTGTTTGGTTTTTTTAAGGCAAGTAGATTCTTTTCTGCCTTTCTAAACCAGCGTCATAGCATCAGGGAATTTTAGCACTGGAAGGAACCTCAGAAGTCATCCTGTAGATGAGGTTATCTGCACAAATACTTTAGTCCTAACCTATTACAATAACATCAGAGATATTTTGGTTATAATGCTCTCTATGCAGAAGGCAAAGGTAGATGTTTCCATGAATGACTTTACTCTCATGGTCCTGTTTAAAAGAGTATGTAGTTTGATACTCTTCTTAGTGTGGGCAATTGTAGAGCAACTGCAGAATTTTGTAGTTGAAAGGGGCCTTAGAGATCATCTAAAGATTAAAAACCAAAATCTTTATTTTATTGATGATAAAACTGAAACTCTAGCATAGCTTGCTTTACTAAGAAGATGAAGCAGAACTGGAAACTAAGTCTTCCTATTCCCAGTCTAAAGGCTCTTTCCATCACAGCACTCAGTAAGACAGTTGAACAAACAAACAAACAAAAACTCCAAGAAATTTCCCATAAGAAAGCATTTTTTTTGTTGTGTTTTTACCTCTGAACAAATTATCCAAGTCAATATCTTCTTTTCCTTTGATTTTCAGACACTTTGCCTGCTGTACAAGTCTGGGCAAAGAACAGAAATAAAATCTAGGTTCATTATCCTGTGAGGTGGGAATAAATCATGGTAGCAGCATGAATCTAAATCAACACCACAGGGTAAACAGTAGTGAATTGGAAGGTATTTTGCTGCATTAATTTTTTTCTTGAATTTTTTTTTCCCAGGCCAAGAAAAAGGTTTTATTCAGGGACTAGGCCGAAATGTTGAGAAGCTTGTATTGTCACAGGTAGAAGTCACTTAAAATTCAGGAACTATGTTCTTTAGAACCTAAGAAGAGCTGTTTGGGTAAGAACCAGTTGCTACTGATGGCCTTAGGATCTGTTGCTAAAAAGATGATTATAAACATGGTGCTAGAACAACTAGGCAATGTCGGCTTCAGTTAAGTTACTGAGTCACAGAGCATTTGTTTACTATTGCAGCATTGCGGAATCTTGCAGGCTCTAATTTTGCAACTCTGATCATGGAATGTTGTTACAACTTGGCTTAGCACACTTTAAAAGATAAACATTATAAGAAACCTATACAAGGTAGTTAAATGTGTAGCATTGTTCCCAAGCAGGCAGGAAGCAGACCCATTTTAATTGATTTCCATGTTGCAGTTATGTAACAAAATCATAAATTTATTTTTCTTATGTTACAACACTTTAAAACTATTTAATCCTCTCCTCTCCCCCCCTACACCTCCCCCGTTGTCTCATTTTATTCTTCGAGAATCATAGAAATTTACATTGGGTCCTCACAGACCAGTTAGTCCAACCCAGCCCTTAATAAGTCTCCAACAAATGGTCATCTAGCCATTGCTTTAAAACCTCCAATGATGGGGACCTTATCACCTCCAGAAGCAACACATAATATTTCTGGAGAGCTCTTACTTATTAGGAAGATTTCGTTTCTTATATTAAACTTAAATTTAAGCCTCTGTATTTTCTACCCATTGTTCCTGGCTTATCCTACAGGGTGAAGAAGGACAACTCCAATTCTTTTTCCATATGAGAGCCCTTCAAATATTTGAACATAGCTATCATGGTTCCTTTTACATCTTCTCTTTTCCAGGCTGGGCACTCCTATTTCCTTCGCCCATTCCTCATATAATCTCGAATCACCATCCTAGCTGCCCTGTTCTGGAAGCTTTCCAGCTTATAAACAGTCTTCCTAAAATGAGGCAACCGGAACTGAATTTATTATTGCAATCAGATAATTATAAACATGGCACTAAAACAACTAAGAAATGGGAACTTCAGTTAAGTTGCTGAATGTCAGGGAACTTATTAACTTTTGTTAATGTGTTCCAGATATTGTCTGACCAGGGCAAAGTACAGTGGGACCATCACCTCCCAAGTTCTCAAGGCAACTTTTTGTGCCAACTAAGGTTATCTCAGTTCTGTAAAGGAGGAAAACTGAGGAAGAGGTGGGATTAAAACACTCACTGAACAGTTCAGGGAGAGGTATTTTGGAACACGTGCAAAATTTTTAAATAATTTAAGGAGGTGGTATACATAACTAGGGATAAGTTTTATGTGTAGATATTATCTATTTGTGTAAAAAAACCTATATGTTACAGAACACACAAATCCTATGGGTTTAGCATCTATTGTAGATATTTTGCTTTGCAAATAAGTTATTGAAAATATAATTTCTAATAAAATTCATATTTGGCACCTTCATGATGGGGCAGTCCTGCATATCTATTTACAAACTGAATGTAATCACACTAAAACATCAGGCATATTTTATGTACTTATTGTAATGCAGGATAAAACCATAAGAAGAATGCTAAATTGAAATGTCAGTATGGTTAATATTTTATAAAGAGAAAGAGAGCATAGCATATTAGAAAAGATTTGAAATCAGGAGAGACCTGGGTATGGAACCCACCTCTGACACCTGCTAGCAAAATGACAACATGCAAAATCATTTAACTTTTCTGGTCTGTAGCGTCCTCATCCATAAAAATGGAGAGAGTAACACCTGTGACTCCCATCTCAAAGGGCTGTAGTGAGTATCAAGAAGGAAGCAGGTACGAATCATGGTTCTATAATTTACTATCTCTGTGACCTCAGATAAATCACTTAACCTCCCTGGGCTCTATGTTCCTTAGCTAGAAAATGAGGGGGTTATATTAAATGGTCTCTAAAGTCCCTTCCAGCTCTAAACCTATTTAAAAAGTGCTATCTTTCTTTCTTTCTCTCCATATATACACATATACCAGCTATCACATTTTAGAAATATTTTTTGAGGATTAAGAAATGAAAATGTAATTTTTTGTTACAAGGAATGGCTTTCGGGGAGCGGGGAAGGAAAGGGATACAGGAAGAAATTTTAGTGATGTAAAAATAAAAGACAGCAATAAAAATATTAAATAAATGAAAAAGACTAGAAGCTTACACAGAAGTCTTCCATACCTGTAAACATAAGAACCCAGTTCCTTAATTCAACCAGTGTGAATAAAAAGACCCTTGAATACAATAAATGAGAGGGGAAGGAGAGAAAAGGAAGAGCATCCAAACAGCCTCAAAAGAGTATAGCTTTTTAGATAAGAAGGAAATAACAACTGAGTCAACAAGCAGCGGGGGGGGGGGGGGGGGGGGCACGCCGCAGCGGCAGAATAAACACCTCCAACATGATGAACAAATACTATGGATAAAAAGATCCACAAGAAAAGATACCAGAAGGGGGGAAAAACAGATTAACTTCCACAATGGCCCAAGAAATGGAAACTTTGAATAAAGGAATGGAATCGATGAGAAATCAAATCCTCAGGCTGGAAAGCCAATTTGCTGCAGAAGCAAAATTTTAGCAAAGCAAGAGCACAGGACGATGTGAAGGGAGGAGGGGAAGGGAGAGATATCTTACAAGCAAAGATGACAGAGTGAGAAGATTCATCAGAGAATTTATCTAAAAATCAGGAGATCATCTAGGAAAAAAAACATGAAGAAAAAGTGTTTAACCAAGATATTTTCAAGAAATTGCTTTAAAAAAGTCTTAGAATTAGTAAGATCAGGAGACATAATGCAAGTCTATTGGATTCACTGGGCACCCTCAAAGAGAAACATCAGATTCAATTCATCTGGGTAAAGAGTCATTGAATTCTAGAGCTACATGGACATAAAGAAATAATCTTACCACTGGCTAAGGAGAAACCCTCACCTATCTAAGGTAATACAATTCAAATTTCACTGGCTCATTATCTATCATGATAAGAGAGAGAAAAAGACTGTTATATGACCTTAAAATAAGAGTTGGGGGATTATTTCAAAGAAAGAATAGGGGAAATATCATGAATATTTTTCAGAGTAACCAAAATTCATTGGGTCTGTTATAATTTGTGGCAATATCAAGTGATGAGGGAGGAGGGAAATTAGTGTATATATCTTGAAATACATTATGTATACTACTGTAGCCGGTAGCATTTATAATTAATTTAACTGGATAGTGGTTGATATGTATAATAAGTGAGAGGTAGAATGTACTGTGTAGATGAACTAAGAGGGTTTAAAATATACTTAGCACTTATCACATATATTCAGCTGCGGTACTTATGATATTCAAATATTCAACAAGGGGAAGAGGAAATGAGTAATCTTAAAAGGGATACTACTATCTACTGGAGGTAAAAAGAAAGAGAAAGGGTCAATATTTTAAAAATTGAGAAAAGAAAACATTCCGTAGAGTTAATGGAATCAGTCAGGTCAGGATTAGAACTGTATTTTATTGAATTACATTCCTTTGCAATGAAAGTGGTAATTTGAAGAAAGTGTTACGCACTTAAAGGAAAATTTGGGATAACTGAGTTAATCTAGAAAACTCTTAGGGTTCTAGGAGTGTGTTGGGGATGAATGCACAGATGTGTTTGTTAAAAAAAAAAGAATTAGAAGGGTGTTGAAAGCTGGGTCTGCTATCTCACACACCTATAATCCTTACTACTGAGGAAGGTAGGCAGGTAGAGGGCATGAATTCAGATGTTCTAAGATAAGTAGGGCTAAGCTGATGGGGTGTCCTCACTAAATCTGGCACCAATATAGGAAGCCCCAAGAGCAGGGGGGCCCCTAGGTTGCCTAAGAAAGGGCAAACTGGTTCAGCCTGGAAAATGGGCAGGCCAAATCTGGACTGATGAGCAGTGGGGTTGTCCCGTGACTGACTGCTGTACTTCCAACCTGGGGCAGATAAAGAGACCAAGTCTTTAAAAAAAAAAAATCAAACAATTAAAAAAAAGTTGAGTTGATGGTTGTAGGTGGATTCCACCCCCTGTAGGAAGCCTAGATGGCACAAAGTTGATATAGGGATTGGCCTAGAGTTTGGAAAATCTAAGTTCAAATTTGGCCACAGACTCTTCCTTAATGGGATAACCCCAGCCAAATCCCTTAACTTGTCTGCCTCAGTTTCTTTATTAGTAAAGTGAGAATAATGATAAAACCTACCTCCCAGTGTTGGTGTGAGGGATCAAATAAGATATTTATAAAGCATTTGTCACAGTGCCTGGTACACAGAAGGTGCTTAATCAGTGCTTGTTTCCTTCCTTCCTTCCTTCCTTCCTCAATTCTTCTTAACCTTACTGCCTTCTCTCTGAGGTTATGCCAAATTTATCCTGTGTATATTTGTTTGTATATATAGCAGTTTATAAGTTGTCTCCCCCAATAGACTGTGAAATCTTGGAGATTGTATGCCCTGTCCTTAGCACAGGGGCTTAAAAATGCTAGGGGACTGACTGGGTGTTACAGCAAGAATTTGTGTGTATCAGCAAAAGGCCAATTAGAACTGTGTATGAACCATATGGATTTCAATGTAAATGGATTAAATATCTACAAAAAGAAAACGATTACAGAACAGGAAGGAGGACAAGCTGCAACAAGTCTGTAGTTTACTACAGGTGAGTATATGCCATGCTTATGATATTGGGGATTCCAAATGAGAGGCTGGAAAATAGGTTATTGTGGATCAGCAGCGTCTAGAAAATCAGGGCTGCAGTCCTCTTTCTGGACAGTTCATTTCAAACCAGAAACCAATG